ATTTATCTGGAAAAAAGCTTGCAGAAAATAGTTTTGTAGTAAACATCCTCAATCTTGAACTTGGTAAAACAATTACCTTTATTTACAATGTTTCAAGTCTTAATACTTTTCTTTTTGTTATACTGGGATAAATCATACCGTGGTGTATGTTAAAATTAGGGCCTTTCGCACCGCGGGAACCTTTTCATAGTACCAGAACGAATTGTGGAACTACCCACTTTTTGTCTTTTTCGATGTGGCGCCCTACCTAGACATTTGTCCACCAGCCGCTACTGGTCTTAATGTTTTTTAAATTCAGCTTAGCTACAGCAATAGCTGGATGCCTTTGTCCATGTTAGGGATTTCCTGGAAGGTCAAGTTATTACTTCTATGAGTCTATTTTTTAGTTTCTGCGAAAGAGCACCCTCCAGTTTTGAGTATGAATGACACATGCACTGCATTAGAGCAGGGGCACATGAACACATGGGCTTCAAGGGACTGACACTGGGGAGGGGGTCACCGGCTGCAGGGAAATTATATTTTTTTAATAATTATTTGTAACTCAAACACTCATTTTCAGCGACTCCCTGAAGATATGCCCAGGTCTCCTGGTCTTTGCTTCTGGGTTTCTATACGGTCACCAGAAAAGACAAAGGTGTGAAAGGTTACATGTTTTGATTGTGGGACAACTTTAACTCCAGATACTGAACTAAAGCTGCACTAGAGATATTACAGTTGAGAGAAACCTTATAACCTTTCATGAGCATGACTCTTTTTAAAATAAGTTTAAACTGTATTATATTCAGATTACACTAATGACTGTTTTCTCTGTGTATTACAGCACTGGACGAATGTTTAGGTATTATAATGTCATTAGCACTGCTGGTGTCCTGTAGTTGCGAGTTTAATTTATGGCAGAAAATGTAAACAAGGGGAAAAAATGCAAGTATTGACATGCAAAAAAAAAACATGATTAAAATAACAATTTTAAATCACCATCTTAACTTTATAAAATCTTATTCAGTGAGTGATTATTATTAAAACAGGTAAAACTCAGGTTCAAGAGATGCATTATGTTGTAGGAGCCATTTTCAGTTGTGTAGTTTTCTTTCGAGCCACTAGAGAGCGCAAAAGATATTTATGTTGTTGAATCGGCATCGTGACTGGGCATGAAGAAGGTCAAACTAACTTTTTGGCCGTTGTGATGGACTTAGTAGTTAGACGCTTTTTAAAAATGTCTTTATTGTTTGTAGCTGTTTGAATTTTTGAATCAAAAAGGAGACAATAAATGGATTGGAATGTCCAAGTGTATTTTTTGAAGTATGGCCTTTACGTATTATTGTCAGTCTTCTTTTCAAGTACACACGACGTGTCAGAAACAAGATCGTAAAATAGACAATCATGCACCTACAAACATTCTGTACACATTGATTTCAGAGAATGGTAAGATAACTGTGACTTTTCTGCCTGCATAAACCCTCTGCCCCGCATTTAAATTTTTGATTGTGAAATCATTCAGTTTGGATGTGTAGCTAATATGTAAATATTCATATGCCTGCATATACGTAATGGAATAAATGTACCTTTCTGGCTGCTATTGGTTGTTAAATTTAAAATTGTCAAAAAATTGTCAAAACACAATTTTAAATAGAATAGTTGATTTAGTACATTATATTAATGACCTGTAAATTAACAACACTTATATAAATACAAATAAGAATTATATCAAAAGTCATTTTTGATATTTTGTAAGTACATTTTGTGCTATGACAAGTAAATGAGAAAATGTTTTTTATTTTCTATAATAACTCATTAGCTGATGCATCAACATCCTTAGCTTCCCCTGTGTTGTAAAAGCTGTACGTTATGGGGAAAATGTTTTACGATAGTTTAAAATATTGTAACAAGTTTTCTGTTTTTTGTGAATTTATACCCACAAAAGGGACGACGTATCCTGAAAAATAAGTTTTGAAAAAAAAAAAATTAAATACAAATCATAAAATTGTATTATTTGAGTCACAATAGGATGGAAAATAGCAATACATTATTTTTCTGTTGTTTCTTTATGGTCTTGCCCTTGTTAGGGTTAATTACGGTCTCCCACACATAAAGTAGGCAGAAAAATACTGTAACCATGGTCATTTGTTTTGACACATTTTTATGTCTCATATTGTTAGAAATAATAATAAAGTATAGAGTAGTTTCATACACTTTTAGCATGTCTTGATTCAAATGCTGTTTATAAACAATGAAATAAAGTGTGAATACAGTGAAATCTCTGCTGATGATCATGTAAAGCTTTTCAGAAGTGCTGATTTCATGTTAATAGTTCCTGTTTTCACCTCATTCATTATGCTGCTGTCTTCAAATCACCTGTAAACTGCCACTTAAAGCTTATTACATTGGTGTAAACAGACTGAAACCAACTACAGTTCAACTAAGTTGGAATGTTTTTTTGTTGTTGCTTACACTAACATCTGTATACTTACTTCTGAATCAGTTTATTCTTGTTTTATTCATATATTTTTATACTTGATTTCTTTTATTTGTATATGTGTATTCATCTATTTCTTTGTTAGTTTGTTCTTATGATAGATAAACGAATGAAAAGGTTAAGGTTTATATTAGATCGACTCGCAAATAAAAATCAAAAACTCATAGAATGTGAGCTTTTACTTATATCTATACATCTTTGAAAATGTGAACACAAAACACTGAATGCTTAAAATGTGTGAAAATATTGAAAGCATCAATTCATTAAAGTCCGCATGAAATCAAAATGGACTTTATTTACTTTACTAGTTTTGTATCGGAAAAGCGCTGTACAAATAAACTTGAATTGAATGAAAAAACTTGAATTAAAATACTTTGTTACTGTCCACCCCTGTGTTTTAATCAATAAATGTTCTATTATAAATATATTTTGGATATTTAGCTGTCTATAAATCATAATTTATTTGTGAAATAATTTAATTGTTCATTTAGTTTCTTAACTGTTCAAGATTTTTTTCTTTTCATTTTACTTTTTAAAAGTTGGTTTTTAAAAAGTAACTAAGGGTGTGTTCACACTTGTCATGTCTGGTTCGATTAATACGAACTCTGGTGCGATTGCTCTGTTAGTGCGGTTCATTTGAGTAAGTGTGAACGCTGCTATCCGAACCCTGGTACGCACCAAACAAGCGAACCGAGACCGCTGAAAAGATGGGTCTCGGTCCACTTCCAAACGAACTCTGGTGCGGTTCGAATGAAATATGAACGCAACACGGACCAAATACTTCTAAACTAACCAAAAACAGGAAGTAATGACAAGATGCGACGCTATGCGACATGATTTGACGACACGGAACGAGCGGTGTAAAACCAAAACAAAATGAGCAGAGGGCAGACGTGGAGCAACGAGGAGGTAAAGTGCCTTTTATGAGCTCCTTGTGAGTTTGCAGGTGGTGAAAATAAAATTATATGTACACACAACAATGAGTGTGCTTAGTCCAGCAGACGGCATTAAAGCAGCACTATGTAACTTTTTTTTTTAAGATTTATTTTTTGGCGTTTTATGCCTTTTATTTCGATAGGACAGTAGGTCGACAGGAAGCGAAGTGGGTGAGATAGAGAGCGAGGGGGGGTGGGATCGGGAAAGGTCCACGAGCCGGGACTTGAACTCGGGACGCCCGAAGCGCAAGGCAAAGGTGCTACATGTCAGCGCGCTGCCCACGAGGCCTGCACTATGTAACTTTTGGTGCTCTAGTGGTTAATAAACAGAACAGCACACATCCCGCTGAAGAACATTCTAACCGGATCTACTTCTCTAAGTTTATGTCTCTGGCGATTCACGCAGGTATGTGTTACTCCGCAGCGGTGACGACCCGACCAGGCTACAATAGTCCAAATATAAGTACTTATTATAAGTGTACCGTAGTGATTCGGAATAAGACAAAAACGTGGTTTGGAAGATGAATTCATGATGTACATTTAGAAAATTTTGAACACGGAAAAAGTTACATAATGCTGCTTTAAGTGTGTTTGACTTAAAGCGGCGCGATCGGTTAATGGGTGCTTTGATATCATACACCTGCAGCGCCGCTTTAAGTCTAACGCACCTTTTGTTTGGGTGTTCGGTAAGTTCCCTCACGAATACGTCATTCAACCCGACCAATCAGGCTGTGAATGTATCTCTATGCCTTTAGGTTTGGTATCTTTAGGTTCGCTGTCAAAAATGCCAGTGTGAACGCTAAGCGGACCAGGACCAAATGTATCTTTTTTTCTTTTTGATCCGGACCAAATGAACCAAACGAACCGAACTACAAGTGTGAACACACCCTAAAACTATATAAAAAGCAACAATAGTTCAATCTTTCAATGCAATTCAGTACAGCATACTGTGATACAAGTTTTAGCTGTCATTGTGATGAAGTGGTACACATGCTCAGGAGAAAACAACATAAACCAACTGTGCAGCAAAAAAAAAAAAGGTAATTTGTTGAAAAAAGAAAATAGTATATAAATAGTTTATACGTACACATGGAGATATTTAATATTTAATTTAATATTATTAAAAATACTGTCATATTATTAAAAAAGTGCCATATATGATTAGAAACACTATAATATAAGTACTGCATTAATAACTGAATTTAAGTAATAAGTGGATTCACTTATATAATTTTTTTAAATTTTGTAAAACTAATAACTCATTACCTATTTATTGTTGCAGTTGTTTATTTTTGAATAATATGTGGCCCTAACAAAGATTTAGTTTTATTGACAAAGCTGATACAGATTACAGTTTTGCCTTTTAGACAAAATCATGAATTAAATACTATTAGATGTGCTGCACAATCTTTCTTTAGCAGTTATTTTCAGAGCACAACTAGACAACGTGTCTTTAAACATGTATTTAAAAAAGAATAAAACTCTGAATACATGTTTTATTGTTTGAATGGTTTACTTTTGTTGTGTAAATATTCCAGCACGTCTGACATTCAGCATTGGTGTTTGAACAGGACTTTTATTTTGGTGCGGTGGTGTGACGTCATAAGGCTGCGTCTGTGATTCGGCTGAAGGAAGGTTTGTTTATTCCTTTCAAAGTTTAAGTCAACGCTAACGATGTACATGGCTTACTTATTGTTTAACGTAAGACTAGTGATTTATCTGACGTTAATGTACGTTAGTTGTGAGAATATAGCGCATCAGTAACTTGAGTTACAGACAAGCTGACTTCTCGTTTCTCTCGTGAATAATTTAATAGAAAACACATGAAACTAGAGAGTGATGCAGAATCACCTGAAAGAAACATTAGAGCGTTTTCATCTGAAAATAGATTACAGTTGCTCTTTCTGAATTATACATTTATATGTTTCTCTGTTCTTCTCTCTTCTGGCGGGAGATGTTTACATTTCTGATCATTAACATTTAATTCAGAGTAGCCCTGAAACAATTAATAGTTTTACAAAACTTAAAAAAAGGTTTTGAGAACTGATTGTAACTTTGAAATTCAATTTAAAAAGTAATAATGGAGAAACTGAGCTTTTTGAAGCTGCTTGATGGATTAAAGGGGTCATATGATGCGATTTCAATTGTTCCTTTCTCTTTGGAGTGTTACAAGCTCTTGGTGCATAAAGAAGATCTGTAAAGTTGCAAAGACTAATGTCTCAAATCCAAAGAGATATTCTTTATAAAAGTTAAGAGTCAAGAAAGGCGGGGCATAGAGGAGAAACAATAATGTACAGTATGTGGAAAATAATGTGTTTTGAACCTTAAACCGCATAAACACATTTCATTACACCAAATACACAAAATAATGTTCTTTTTAGCAGCATCATATGACCCCTTTAAACACTGATTAAAGCACTCAGATAAACTCATGCTTACGACAACTGCTGCTCAAAACTGTAAATGCAACAAGAACTACAAACTATTTTTATAACCAACTGCAAATAAAGTAATTAAAGTGTAATCTAATGACTGCAATCTACTGATCATTTAGTATCTCAACAGATGTGTATGAAGTGTTTGTATATATTTTTTCTCATTAGTTTATTTAAGGCCATTAACTATCACTGAGACTGACTGCATTAGCAGTGCACTGACGACTCGACAAGGGAGCTAAACTCATTTAGTTTGGATCTATTTTTCTTTGTTTAGTTTTTCTCATTTTAATCATGACAGTATCGAACCACACAGGAAAAAAACTCCCGGTGAAGCAGCTGAGATCCACGTGACACACGATTATAAAGATGGCGTTCATTAAAGAGGAGAGTGAAGACTTCAGGATTGAAGAAGTATTCAGTCTGAAACAAGAAGATACCGAGGAACAAACAGGTTGGTTTTCATTCTCATTTGATTGTTATTAAAATGTCAGTCTCTATATTCAGTCTATATTTTTGAAGAATGTCTTGTGACTGATTGTCCAAATTTAAGTGGTTTTATTTGACATGGAGCCTCGTGTATAAAAACATGTTGAGATCACATGACCAGACAAATACTAATGCTGCCTTCAAGAGAAGCTGAGAAGGTCCTACATCTATGTTATGTCATGCATTACAAAAATAACTTAAGAACATAAATACATATGAACCTCATTAACTGCCCAATATCAACTTCTGAACTGAAAACAATGACAGCCATTCATGTTCATCACTTGACTATGCAACTAAAAAAAGTGACTGATTTGTTGTCATGAAGTGATTTTTGTCTTCTCATCCTCAAAACCAGTGATTCTGTGGAAAGATACTCAAGATGTAGATGATTTTGCTTGGTTTGTTCAGGGCTGTCCCGTCACATATTTGATTGACACGGCAGTTTTACCTTAGTCCCTCCCTGAGTGAGCTGTGAACAGTCCGACCGTGATTGTTTCAACGCCGGAGCAGGAACGTAGACAAGAGTGGCTCCTAAGTGGTTGAAGTTGATTGAGGTGTTTGTTGTTGGATGTAATAATGAACACAGCAGTCGTCACTCCTGACGTCTGAGCCGCTGAAGATGCAGCGGATTATGTTTGTTTTTGAAGGGAATGATCTTGATCTGCTTAAATGCGTCTGTTCGTGCAAATCATTCGTGATCCAGCTTCACCTCCAGAATGAATGAATGAATAAGGCATTTATATAGCGCTTTATTGTGTATTGTTGTACACCCAAAGCACTTTACAATCATATGGGGGTCTCTCCTCAACCACCACCAGTGTGCTGCATCCACCTGGATGATAACAGCAGCCACAGTACAACGACGCCAATGTGGTCACCACACACCAGCTACAGGTGGAGAGGAGAGAGAGTCATAGAGCCAATCAAGTGGATGGGGATTATTAGGAGGCCATGATTGACAAGGGCCAGTGGAGGGAATGACACCGGGGTTACACCCCTCCTCTTTACGAGAAGTGTCAAGGGATTTTTAATGACCACAGAGAGTCAGGACCTCGGTTTAATGTCTCATCCGAAAGACGGTGCTTTTTGACAGTATAGTGTCCCCATCACTATACTGGGACATTAGGACCCACACAGACCACAGGGTGAGCATCCCCTGCTGGCCTCACGGGGTGGGGTGAGCAGAGCTCATTAGCATTTAAAGGGACATGCGCCTAAACAGGTTGCAGTGAAAAGAACTGATTTTGACAAGGTAAAAAGGGTGTTGTTTTACACTACTATTGAGAAATTTTAACCAAAATATGTGATAAACTTTTCATTAAGACCCTAAAGAGTCATATCAACTTGTGGAAAATGGGCATCCTATGACCCCTTTAAAGGGATTGACCAATCTGAAGGATTTTTGAGATACTGTTAACTTGTAGAGCCTCTTACTGTATTGTCAAAACAAGAAAAACAACAACAGTGGAATAAAAGGAGTATACAGCTATACAAAATCTAATGCAAAATAGATAATCATGATACTGACAACACATGTTACACCTGGTCATGTGCTGAGTCAGAGCGGTGCAAACTCACCTGCCAGTAACTTTCTATTAATTCTGATGGCCTTGATTAGTTTGTTCAAGTGTGTTCGATTAGGGTTGGAGCTAAATTCTGCAGGAAATTGGACCTCAAGCACTAGAGTTGGGAACCGCTGGCTGAGAGTTTAGAGTAACTTGGAACCTTGGAGCAACACTTCTTTGTTTTAGAGATAACCTATTTAATCTTTCTTGAGAAGGAGGGGTCTGCGAATTGGTGCCTTTCAGATCCTGCATTTTGATTGGCTGATGCTGTCAGAGGTGGCCAGTGTATGCCCCTCTCATGAGTTCTTCAAGTTCTTGTTTAGAACAATGTCTTTAAGGTTTTCCTATGTATAATTCTCTTTCCAAGACAGTGTCATAGCAGTGAAATCTAATAATAATATCCGCCAGGGAAAGAGTATAAAAGGAGGAAGGCAGAGGACTGTGGGCTAATACTAAGCCCTGTGGCACTCTATACTTGTGTTTGATGAAACGCATAATTATTTACACGTGGTAGCAGTTCGATAGATTTGACTTACTCCCGTGCTGTTGGGTACAACGGGGTGACGAGGTCTCCCCATCGTTATCGAAAGATTGTTGGTAAAGTTTTGGCGCCAGGTGGTGCAGGGTCGGCCACGTTTGGGCACCAATGCATTGTCATTGCAATCGTAGAATATGCCCGGCTAGCCCGAGTCGTCGCTGTGTGATTGTAACTTGAAGGCTGTTGGAATTTCCCCGCTGCAACACTTTTTCTTTGGTTATGCGGTCAATATACCGGATCTTGAGAATGCGCCGGAGACATCGCTGGTGGAATGTGTTTATCCTCCGGACAGTGTTCGCTGTTAGCTTCCACATTTCGCATGTATAGATTGTGGTTGGGACAACGATGAAGGAGTATAGTCATAACTTGATCTTAAGAAAGATTGAAGCTGACGACCAGAGGCCTGTTTCACAAAACTAGTTTACCAAATAAACCAGGCTTATTTCAGTTAATTGGACTCATTGTCAAATGATTTGGTTCCATAAAGCAAATTGAACATAAATCAAGTTCATTCACTGTGGCAACTTATGCTGGGAAACTAACCTGGGCTGCGTTTCCCAAAAGCATCGTAAGCCTAAGTTGATCGTAGATCCATTGGTGGCAATGGGTCTACGATGTACTTAGGCTTACGATGTTTTTGGGAAATGCAGCACTGGTCTGAGGCAGGTTAACTGTCAGGCTAAGCTGAGTTCCTCTAACACTGACCAATAGAAACACATTGATGCACTACTATTCTATTGCGTTCCGTCTGTTTAGCTCACGTTCACTCGCATAAGCCTTGCCCACTCCTGACAGCAAAATGGAAATATTTGGATGACTTTCTAACATTTGCAGATGGAGAATATACCTGTGACGTCAGTTAAAACACAACGTCACAAATGCATTAAACAGCACAAATATATTTGCTGTTTGCCATGGTGGATTGATTTGATCCATGATCAACATTAAGGGCTGCTTAACTCTTTCCCCGCCAGCATTTTTGAAAAAAAGTTGCCAGCCACTGCCAGCGTTTTTGCTGATTTTCACTAAAATTTCATGCCCCCAGAATAGTTTGTTATATGAATATCTGACCATGCAATACAAAATAATTTTTTTTCTAGCTTTAAGCATTGTTTTTTTTATTTATCAACACTTGAATGTAGGTAGGTTTAATAAAAAAAGCAAAATTTTGAGCAAAAAGCTGAGAAAATTTCATTTTTATCAAATACTAGCCTACATCTGGATCATATTCAGAAATATTATCAAAGCAAAGATGCAGTAGATTCCATCAGCACTCCCAAAGCTTGCACAGGCCTTCCTGGATTGACATTTCACTCTGTAACATTAGGCAGTTTTCATTTATACGCGGTTAGTGTTGATGATCGCATTATTTTTCATATGCATATGCATACATATGAGATTCTGCGTCTTCCTGGTCTGTGTTTTTGATCGGCACACTCAAGACTCATTCAGGAGATGTGTGATAGCGCCCCCTAGTGTATAATAGCAAGAACGCGGAAACCCGGAAAATTCCGTGTTTGGCAGGGAAGCGTTGTCTCATGAATAACGGAAAATCCCGTGTTTGGTGGGGAAAGAGTAAAAAATAAGTGTGCACCTCAAGTTATCTTGACTCACTGAACATGGATCAAATGATCAAATGTATGAATTTAAATTGTCGTTTATGGAACCGCTTTAGCCCCGATTGATTTGTTAGGTCATTTCAAGTCAGAATTTTATTCCTCTTTTCTGAGTGTCTTTTATAAAACAGGCCTCGGATGTGCTGGATGCATCGTAAAGCTATTTTTTTTTTTTTTTTTTTTTTTTTTTTTTTTTTTTTTGCGACCCGTAAAAATGTCCTGCTTGCACATGCCAATTTAATGGCATTTTTTTTTTTTTTTTTTTTTTTTTTTTTTTTTTTTTTATGCGACCGTGTCCCCCTCCCCTCTGTCCCACACACATGTAAATAACATGCTGTATTATATATAGGTAGTTTACACAAAAACTTGAGCCAAGTTATCAAGATGTGTATATGAAACAATCATGTCTGACCCTTCTCACATTTTGTATGAGGAATATTAATTTTTGCCTATGCTAGATTGAATAGGCTATATTATGTAAATCTTTTGTGTATCAGTCTGTAAAATTAATAAATCAGAATTGGGGGTTCAAATAGGCCTCTGGGCTCTGGAAAATAGAAAGGACTCACTATTCGAATGCACTGTAGCCATGTGTTTATGTATATACTGTTGTTTTTTGTATTAAGGTTTTGTATTAAGGTTTAAAACTATTGTTTGTTTAGTAATTATCGATGTGAATTGATGTGAGACAGTACACGCTGTGAGAGCCAAGACAAATTTTGGAAAGAATTCCAACAATAAAGTGTAACTGGATTGAATGATTGAATTGAAAAAGCAATATTAAAGCTAACAAATGCCTCTAGTTTTATTAATTTAACAGACCTTTGAAGTTTGGGCAAAAATTCATGGAAGTGATGTGTTTTCGTGCATTTAATTTTTTCATATGGTGATTGTGAAACATGAAACGCATCACTTACATGATTTTATGGTGAAATGTATTTTTCATGTTAATCGGGTCAATTTTGATCAAGAACAATGCACTGTGACTTTTATTCTGTGTAAGCGACGCAGAAAAAATAGACTCGGCGCCGAAATGATCACAGTATCGCCTCTGCGTGCGGTGTGAATACTCTAATCTGTTAACATGGGCGCTGAAAAAAATATGCTCCGCTTACGCGTGCAGTGTGAAACAGGCATTAAACTGCTTTTGTATTTTTCTTCTAGACCTGATCGAGAAGAGTCAAGAGCTGAAGGATTTGGAAGAGAAGGAGCAGAATGAGAAAGATCATGATTTAAAAATTGG